TATTGAACATGTACCGTTACCTCTGAGACCACGTTACGTGTTTTCGTGTGCACCAATTAATAGGAAAATGCCATTTGTTTGTACAATGTTTTTGAAGGTTAGTTCTTTTGTTGATCCTCCACTTATACTACTCATCATAGGATTATCAACTCATCTTACCGCCAACTTTGAGAATTGAGATTATTGATTGATGTACAAGAAAAGGTTTTTGTACGATCTGTTCATGAAGAGTATTATCCTTTTCTGAAAACAAGGCGGCTCGGCAGAATGTTTATCACATTTGAACGAAAAGTGATAGAGACATACGATTTTCACCGTTGGATAGAGAACATCGGGGGACGTAAGCGTATGCAGAAACTAGACTTCCATGCAAAGTTTACCATGGTTAGATTCGGTAATCTACTCAGCTGCCTTTCTTTTTTAAAACGGTAATAGGTGTTTATATTTTATCATGTTTTTGAATAATGCATATCACAAAAAGAAAATAAATACATAGCAAAAAGCAAAACCGATATTAATATGCAAAATTTTTTCTGCAGGAACACAAATACTGACCAACTTGTATATTTGAAATGAACAAATACATACATACTGCATTGGAATTTAAACAAAAGAACAAGTCACGCACATGACCTTTATTGAAAGCGAATTTCGAAAACGTGTATATACGGGTTTGTTCTCAAAAGGTTAACGACAGAAGGCTCAGTACCGTTTGGGTGGCATAGTGAACGAATTAAAGAATTTTGAAAAGATTTTTATTGTAGAATTCTTCATTTCTCATGAAACTGCTTCGACTAACTGAGAAATCATCTCATTCACACTCATTTTCTTTACATCCTCTTCCCATGAATTCCACAAATGAGAGCAGAGACCTTCTACATATCTACTCTTAGACAACAAAATAGTACATCTACTCCCTAATGTAGTATGCAAAGTAATTTATTTGAATGAGTAAAACTTTTTTATGTATTTCTTTACGCTGGCATTTTTTCAAAATTCTTCAAGTATAATGGTTAGTATTGAAATTTGCTTGACGGTACTGGTCAATTAAAGCATATATCTAAGGTTAAATGAACAAGTGTAATTTGATAAAAGTAGCGAGAGAATCTATTGATGTTGTGTATAAGTTACTTTGTTTATGTTTGTGAAAATCTCTAGGTCATGTTAGACGGACGTTTATTCACCGTCATCGTGTTCAACCCGCTTTTTTACAAAAGTCTCATCGTCAAACACCACCAGTAACACCAAAAACCATTAACGCAAACACAAATAATAATAATAATAATAATAATAATAATAATAATAATAATAATAATAATCGTTTAAAAAACATAATGCTTGATCGAAAACGACAAGAGGTAGAAAATTATGTTTACAAAAAACTTGAACAATATACGTTAAAATCACGTTTATGGCAAATAAAAAATTCCCATCATATCAAACGACGTTTATTAGAGAAAGCTCATCGTTTATCTGAAGATCACTCTATATCCGAAGATATCATTGAACAATGGATAAATCAAATTATTATTCGTTTCGATCAATATATACAACAAATTAAAGCATTATTATCATCAAAATATTACCAAAATAGTGATAATAACAATACCAATGATCACATCGAATTATTTCAAAAACAATTAAAAGCAAGTAAATGGCGTACAATGCAAATTCAACGAGCAAAACAATTACGATTAGGTGGTAGTGAGGATAATGATGAATTATTAAAACAATATTATAAATATGTTAACGAAACTTTAACACCGAAAAAAAATGAAACATCAATTTCAAAAATTAGAAAAGAACCATTTGACTTAAATGTTGAATATGCACAAGCAGAAGCAAACGGAAATGAATATTTAAAAAAATTATTAAACAATTATAAACAACGTTCAAAACCAGATTTGGATTTATTAGAAGAAATGATTGAATTAGGTTTAGATCAAATGCAATCTCGTCCGTCTAATTCTGAAATTCAAGCTGCTGTTAATCATGACAGTCATATATTGACAAAACTATCAATAATTTATAAAACAAAACAAGCATATGAACTAAATTTAAAAAATACGGCTGATGATTTTATGTTATTACGTTTTGGAAAACAATTTGGAGATAATAAAACACGAGAAATAAATGAAAATTTTACTCATATGATTCATCTGTATATTAAATCTGTTGCATTAATATATTACTATATTCATACAAGTGAAGATAATTTAACATCGTCTAATATTAGTGATTTATTTTTTATTCAAAAAATACAAAAAATCAACATGAATGCGATATTTTCACCCGATACAAATATCGATCAATGGACATGGTTATTTGAAAAATGGAATGAGGCTTTAAGAATATTTCCAATTTATTTAACAGAAGTTGGTGCATTTACTCGTCTGTTACGTACAACTATTGGTATTGGTATTGCTCGTTTGTATAATTTTGCTGAAAAAATGACAGATAACACTACTATCTTATCACAAACCGAAATAGACACGAAAGTATTTCAAGCATTACAAATGGGCTATTATTTTGGTATTGCTTATGCTTGTGTTGATAGTTTACAAGATGAAATTAAAAATACTGACATATTAAAACAGTATCAATCAATCTTAGAAAATACTACAGATAGTCAACAAGAAACAATACAAGATGTTGTTGATAAATGGTTACTTATAATGGAAAAATTTTTATGTGGAGAAGATTATGATCGAACTAAAATACCGAAAACAACAATGACACCGTTTCTTTTAGAAACGTTTGATTGTCTACTAGAATTGACACATGTAAACAATGTTACATTAGATACATTCAATGATCTAGCATTACTATTAAGATCACAACGATCGGATAAAAAAGAAACAGCAGGACAGGTATATTCGGATCAACAACTGTTTTTAGGTAAGTCTTATTTATGCCTTATTTATTGTCTGCAATGTTTGTAAGCTAGAAATATCGTTTTACATATAGGTGCTGTTATGAAGTCTCATTTTACGTACACATGTACCACACACATGGCTGATGTCAAATCAGCCAGAGAAGAAAGTGAACGCCTATGGTTAATGCCATTTCTTGGTCAATTAACAGTAAGCGTATCGTCATGTCTCTTTTTTCCCTAATACATACAACTAATAGATTCTCATGTTTTCTCTTTCTTAGGATGATTGCCGTGATTTTTATGATGATTTAAAGTCAAAATCTGTAACATCCTTCACGCATTATGCTGAATTGATACGTTGTGGAAAATCAATAGCGACAACTACTACAGTACAAAATCCATTTTATGCTTTTTTATACTTATGTGAAGACTTATATACCACCAGTAACAAAGAGCTTACAATGGGCGCATTTCTGGGTCGACGTATCCTGCGTACCTTGCGTTCAATTGAATTGAGTACAGGAGAAAGTTCATTACACGAATTTTTACATATTTTCTGTTATGATAACAGTGAATTAGAAAACTACTGTTGGTCACATTTAAGAACAAAATTTTCCAATGTTACTGATCCGGAAAAATCATTTTTTCGTTCTATCAATAAGTATAGTGTTAAATATGCACGTACAAATCGAAAACTTGAAACATATATTAGTGATCATTTGAAACAAATTGAAGATAATTTAAACATTCACTCGTTTCGTGAAACAAATATCAATCAAGTAAAAACATGTACACATGATGAAAATTTACTTATTACTGCAATGAATTACAGCTTGAAGGCAGGTGGCAAGCGATTGCGTCCTCTATTAATGTTCATGGCGGCCGATCAATATAATATTGACGTAACGAAAATATTACCTCTGGCATGTGGTATTGAATATCTCCATACGTCGAGTCTCATCTTAGATGATCTTCCTGCTCAAGACAACAGTGATCTAAGACGTGGACGACCTACATTGCACAAAACAGTAATTGATGATGATATTCCAAACACATTATGTGAAGGACGTGCACAATTGGCTGCTGTTGACCTCATTGCTTTCAGTATGAGTCTGGTTAATCATGATTTAGTTAAAAATGGTTTTCCTGCTGATAGAGTTAATCGAGTTGTTAGTGAAATATCACTATCAATGCATGAACTATGCGTTGGACAAATGATGGATTTAAGGGCAGCACGTGTCGGCTTAATATCAACAACAACAACAGTCAATGCTGACGACAATAGTGCTATGCTCGAGGAACTAGATCGAATTGCTTGGTTAAAAACGGGTAAAGCTATTGAAGTTGTATTAATTACACCGGCTATACTCGCATCTAAAAATACAAGTGAGGACGAACTACAACGCATTAGAGATTTAGGACGTTTATTAGGAATCTTGTTCCAAATGAAAGATGATGTCTTAGATATTGAGGGTGAAGATATTGGTAAACCACAACAACTCGATGAAAGAAATAATACAGTGACGTATGTGTCAATATTAGGTGTTGATGGTGTAAAACGACGTTTAATAGAATTTAAGCGTGAAACTATTTCACTTTTGAACTCATTATGGCCTAGTGCTGGCACGGTAAAAGATGTGGTAGATCTTATTGTAAATAGAAAAAAATAAAATAATTTTCATTGTTATCTAATTAAGCTATGAAAATATGCTATTTAGAATCCTACGTCTATAATGGTGATCTTCCTAATAGATAAAAGTATTATCTGGTTAATGAGGGAAAAGATCTAAGAAAGTCCTATGTCTTTTAGATGTTTGTTTTTTCACATATGATTGTATCGCGTACTCATTATACTATATAATAAGAAGTTATAAGGGACAAAATATTAAAAACAGGTTTTTTCAATACTCCATGTTAGGACTAAATATTCTGTTAGAATAAAAGTAGTTTGCAATTTAATATAAAAGCGTGAAAGAATATATTTTCATCCTAAAAATCTTGTGATGGAATTAATGTTCAAAAATAAGCTTTGAACTTGCATACATATTCATAATATCAGCATTTTTGGTCAATATGCAAAATGACAAAACAAACAAAAGAAAGTAGTACAGTATTTTACTATTAAAGTACTGAAATCAGATCAGTAATTAATTAGAATATAGAGTAATTCACGTTACCTTTTCTATTCTATACAATATCTACGAAGTGCCGGTTTTCCTCAAGCACGAAGTGCTCTAGTCAACAAAATATTTCTAGTTGACTGCGAACATTCGCGCTTAGTGTCTCCGGTCGCCTATTTCGATTAATTTTTTTGCTATTTCCATCGTTTGATTGACACTATGGAAAAAAATCATACCTGTGTATTTAACATTGTGAAGTTGCCTATAAAATTAATGAACAAAAACGAATAAGTAAAATAATCGATAGATTGTTTTTTATTCGAAAAAAAAATGTCGTTTCAAAACGTTAACATTTCACTGGCAAAAGTGCACATCTTTAAATTGTATGAAAACTCAAAACAAGACCGTGTTATTTATGTAACGAAAGGACGTATAAAGATTCTCATTTGAAAAATGTCAATACCACAAAACGTCAGGACATAGCTCATATTTTAATAAATTCAAGTGGTATTAACGTTTTAACAAGTGTTTTGTAGGTCTAATATTTAGCGAGTTCCCAATGAACTTGAGCATAAAGATTTGTCAACCTCCTTTGACTATGTACGAGTCATAGTCATTCAATTTCCGACGTGAATATGATGAACCGTTGAACAAAAATTTAATATAGTTTAGCTAAATTGTTTTTGAATAAAAGTGTGAAATATTATAGAATGATATCTTCGTTGACAATAAAACAAGAAGAGTTTATGTGGAATTTGACATGTGTGTCCTAAACTTATGGTCGGTGTAGCTGTCTAAGGAAGATACACTAGTCTTAGAACTAAAAAAACAGCTGGAGTCATATGACTCGTTCTCTGTATAATTCAAAATCGCTTTTTCTTGTACTTGAAAGGAAACGAGTCATGCTTTCTCTTACCGTTGTGTTTAGCATGAAAAACTCATTGTTCTAATTTTTTCTAGCTCAAACAAGTATAACATTTTCTGCTCTTCTTTGTCTTCGTTATTGGTCCTTATACATACACATGCCGATCGCGTTCTCATAATTGGATTAATTCGTCTTTTATTCAGAATGTATCCACTTGACACTTTACTCTCTATTATGCGTGTCTATGTGTATATTGTTCTAATTTTACTATAGAGTGACACATTATAGCAGTAGTACTACTACTCATCAAATAGACACACATGTTAAGTAGCTCCTTTCATTTTAAAAAGAGTAAAAACTAACAACAAAAGAAAGAACTCACTGTTTCGCTTATACACAATACGAGAGAGAAAACGAGAAAGAGAGAGAGAGATTAAATTTTAAATAGACTCAATTGTTTTTTTCGTTGTTGCTATTCTTTGATTGAATTTTTTGTCTTGTTGTTGTTGTCGTTATTATTACTGTGTCTGAAAGTAGTTTTTTTTTCGTCGGTTAAGGATAAAAGTCCAACGGGACGTCCAGAAAAAGAACGAAGAAAAATATTAAGAAAAAATAAGAATAAAATAACGTAACAAAAAAAAACACGTCGAAAAACGAAACGAAGCGAAGATACACGGCTATACATATCTATTCTCACTTCTGTCACAGAAGAACAAATTTGAAAGAAGATTGTGTGTGTGTGTGTTTATGACGATGCAGACGTAAGAAAGAAACCTCAAATTTTGACTGAAACTTTTCGTTTTCCTTTTAAAAAAAAGACAAGAGAACGAACAATGTCATGAGTAAATATAATATTCGATAAAGAAAAACAATTCAGTTTTTTTCCTGAGTTCTGCAGCTGAGAAAGAAACTCAAACAGGACTAGAACATAATATCTCACACATATGTTCGATTCATACGTAATCAAAAGACGTGCAGAACAATAAAAAAAGTTTTTTGTCTTCGAGACAAAACGAAACATTGCAAATTTCAGAAGAGAGTCTTCATATTGTACAGCCAATTATTATGAGTATTTTTGTTCTTTTTCTCGTTATTGACGTCGTTAGTAGTGAATAGTAGATGAAAGAGAATATTGAGTATGTCGAGCAAATGACTCATTATGCTAAGGGCAAAATGGATACAATGTGTACCTCACAGATGAGGTTAGTATACTAAGAAGTAAATTCGACGAGTCACAGACCATCTGACAACTTGGTGATCTTGAACCTTAATTGTCGAAAAGTAGTCAAAAAAAGTCAGTTTGCTCTCATAAAAATGAACTATCTCGAAAATGATCGTGCCAAGCTTTAAGAGAGTGAGTATTTTCAAACAATAAAAACAATTCAATATATCTGTGATAAAAACGTATTTTTGCAAAAAGTAAATGCATTTAAAGGTTTATAAGAAGTTGTTTCCTAAATCACATGTAAGAGTATTTGTTGGTTTAATTTGAAAAGTACAAGAGTTTTCGCTTTGCCATGGACGCAAATCAATACTTAACATGATCAAAAAAGGATCATATAATGCCAACGACATTGAATTAGGAACACTTTCCGGTACTTGCAAACTCGGTAAGCACAGAATTCCTTTCAGTGGTGAATTCAGAGACTTTTTAATGCGCTTTGGCGGAGAAATGCGGACAATTTATCAGCAAAAAACGAAAATTTTCGTTTCAAGAAAGAGTTGAACGTGTCCTTCTAGATTCATCACTAATTCTGTTTTTCCTGGACACTATGATTCTAGTAAAAGGAATGGTTACTTCTAATTTTCTTCCGACAGTTCTGCAGTAAAAGTAAAAAATTTTTGTCATCTCACCTATCATTGAATACTTAAATCGTCTTTTTTTCAAATTGCCAGTCAAATCAGGGGTTTCTTTCTTTTTCTTTTTCATTTTTTCTTCTATTTCGTCGTTCTATATACATCTATTTTTTTGGGTGTTCGAGTGATGGTCAAATATTTGCTTGGTAAGAACATAAAGAGGAGAGAAAAACGATACCTTAGAGTAATAATAATGTAAATGTGCATGTATAAGAAAAAGAAGAAATGTACAAAAGTAACGGTAGTATTCGACGACAATAAAATCGTACTATTTTCTACAAAAAATTGCTGCAGTAAAGGTATGATGAGATGTCTATCCGATGTATATATATAGTTTTGTCAAAAATAAGTTATACTCTCTACCTGTAAAAAAATATATACTTTCTAACCAAAGAATAAATATGCGCTACGTACTACTATAATAGTATATAAAACTTGAAAAAAAAGAAAGAAAAAAAAAGAAAAACGCTTATTTCTTTAAGAAAAGAAAGAAGAAAATGACTGAGACACACACTTACCACTCCACATATCATCTTTCTCATTTTATTATACAAGCGATTTGACATTAAAAATCATGTAAACGAAATAGAGAGACAATTCAAACAATAATTAGTATTTTCGAACGAATGCATGTATCAGAGAATATTTGTCGTTCCAACTCAATTTTGAGTATAGTGATTCTTCAAATAAGCTTTTGAGTGTTGTGTATCAATCCATTTCACATAACCGAATAATTCTGTTCTGACAATGAACTTCGCACTATTGCTTGAAAATTTTTAACAAATAAAAGACTAACATATATAGCGACTACTCAGCAAACGTTGACACTAGAAATGTGTCTTCAAACAACATCTTTTTTTCACATTATATTTAGATATACTCTATCGACGTGCGTCGTTTGTGGTAAAGAACATCCTTCCAGACAAAAAATGAAATTTTAGAATTCCATGGAGAAGAGTTTCACAGGCAAAGTGCAACTCGCTGTTTTCTATACAAAGTTCTACTGTCCGCAGGGGTAACTTGATATTCTCTACAATCTGGCACTATTAGAATTTGTTCAGCCGAACTTTCACTATAGGTTTCTGGAGACACCGACTTTGAACCGAGATTCTGAAGGAACGTATGAGGATGAACGTATATCAAATTTGTGATCAACATCAAATTTTGCCCATAATCAAGTATGTTTCAAGGAAAATCCTAGGTGGCACTTGGGGACCTTTCCTCGCAAGCACATGGTTTGAAATACATTTCTGGTAATAGCCTGTCAACCTTTGGATTTGCGTAAATTTGGCTTTTTTCCACAGAAGCAGCAGTCATTCTTATAGGTCCCATGAAGCTAGACTGAGTGCGGAGAGATAACAGACATCTTAAGAAATGTAAACTATGAAAAAACGGAAGAATCTTTATTATACTTTTCGAAAAATCGGAATTCTCATTTGCAGGTTGAGCAGGCTGCTACCAGAAATGTATTTCCAACCATGTGCTTAGTCTATAAATGGTTAAAAAGAACTGAATCCGAATTGTCGACCTTCACAAATCAAATTTTACGCTGATTAGCCGCTTCTAGTAACGTGCTTCGTAATACACTAGAGAAAAACTACGAAAAGCTCGTCTCTAAGGCTCCGTTTTTTCGTCAGTTATACTACTGACTTTCCTGAACACATTTTGCTCTAAACATATGCCTCGAGTTTATACTTCGAGTAGTATCCACAACCTTATTTCTAAACGAATGTAAAATACTATATTTGCATAGACTTTTTTGTTCTGATAGATTTTTACAACTTAAATTCCCATATGGGAAGAAGGAGAAAAAAGCTGAGATGCAGTAAAAGAAATCTACGTCAGAAATAAAAGGCATTTGATTTATAACAGACAGATCGTCCGAATTCAGCTACGAATATAACTGTAATCTCTTTGATAACTGATAAGACTCTCTATTTTGGCATCCGAGCAATATTACCTAGACTTACATACGTACAGTTTCAAAACAAAAAATAAAAAATGAATATATTCTGGGTTACGTCCACGTCAATAGTATGCTAATGCAGTTATCGCTTTAGACTTACCCAATACAGGATTTTATTCAAAACTGTAATATCATTGCTGACATTAGAAGTTGCTCTCTGTATGTAGGTATCCATTTTGGGGGATTGCACAGAATTTGTCCCGAGATCTTGACTTAGATAACAGCCTATCTGTGTCGCATTTCCAAAATCCAGCGTTCAATGCTATACTTACATCTTTCTGGATATCTGACCTGTCCATCTTCCTCTTCTTTTACTTTGTTATTCCTGTTAGGCGTTTTCATTGCCTTTCCTGTATGAAACACACCAAGTACGACAGCTCTCAAAGATTAAAGGCAGTAAAGAATTAAAAGCAGTAAAAGCTAAAAGGCATGTTTAGTTATCGATCACTATACTTTATATAATTCACAGCTAAAAAGATCTCGGGACAGAATTTGCAGCTTCTTCCATCTCTGTATTTCTTTTGGATTTAGTTCTTTTCAATGAAGAGTAAGCGAGTTAGTGGAATACTTCTGTTAATTTTCATTCTAATGAAGTTTAACAGCAGGTGTCTATTATACGAATAATAATATTTTATACGTAGGCGAGAAAAAACTCAACATTCTTATACAGATACTCAGTTTAAAATAAAATTCTACAGTATGCTATAGTAGGATTATATAGAATTCTTACCGTAATATTATATATTATTTTCTATCTGATCCTCCCAAACAAACATCACCTATGGGAAAAATCTAGATACATTTTGTCTGTAATCGGGCGAGGTACGACTAGTTGTCATCTAGATTACTAGTTGGAAAAGGGACTTTTAACTAGATGCATCTACATGTGTAACTAGCAATAGTTAAATCGATCGATTATTGGGCGATAAATCGATAGTTGCAACTAGAAAAAATTTAGCAATCGTCCGATCACTAGATTTCCACTGTCGTTACCCAATAGTTGCAATCGAGTAAAAATCTAATAATTTAGATGAATCGGGCGATACTAGATTTTTTTTGACGCTTGGACTACTAAACGATTTTTATAGGATCATATACGATCTCACAAGGTCCTACAACAGGTTCCTGTAAGGTCACATACATTCCTGTAAGGTCGGTTCAATTAGGATTCACTAACCTGGGTAACTGTGACAATAACTGATTATAACGGCAGATCCAACCGTATCGTTCGTTCATCAGTGGTAACAAGAACATATCCGACTATCAATGACAAGAAGCCACGAATGATGGACAAACGATATTATTATATTTTAAAACCGAAATTTAAATTAAATCCCTCATTAAGTAAGGACAAATATTCGATTAAAAACACCCTACTCAAGCTTATCTATAATTTTCTACATGCGTTGTATCACTGTAATACTGTGTTATTTTGTTTTTCTAAACTTCTAGATGTCAAGACATCAGCAAAATTTGAAGAGTTCAATGCACATTACTCAACAAACCGATGATAATAGCAGTTATCAATTCAAGACTGGTAATCAGTTAGTCGGTGAACGAATCAAAAAACGAACACTAATTTCAACAGATTAGTCATAGTTAAAATCAGCTTTAATTTTCGTTTATTGAATAATATAATAGTGCACTCGATGATACATGTCAATGTCTATAAATTTTGCTGTGCAGACAGTTCTGTGGACTGTATTTACTCGGTTATTTATTTCTAATCTCATACTGCGTGGGTTTTACATGATCAAAATTCAATCGGAGATGGTGTTCTGAGCCTCTGATCAATGGAATAAAACAATACAATCAGTGATTGTATTTTTCAATGATGTAAGCCTGTGTATAACTTTAATAATAAAACGGAATTTTACTATACATCTCAGACGTTGACAAGAATTGTTTTGATTTTTAGTGAGTTCGGCGCAACCAAAATAGGATTTTGTTCAGCACTGCTCTAAACATTCTACTATTCAAACGAGTTTTGATTAATTATTACCACTAACTAACAAGCGGTTAGAACTTAACATTCTGATTGCCACGTTCCTGTTCGGGTGTGTAGACTGACAAAAAAAAAAACATGTTTATGTCATGCATGTTTTCAATTTTTGAGACAGTTTAAACCGTAGAATTTCGTTTAATTCGCTCACTGTGTCATCTAAACGGTGTCGGATCACTTCAACCATTTTTGAATTAGTCGTTATAATATTGGTACGAAACACAGAAAAGATATCAACAAACAAACCTTTGTAATAGGAACAATGGATGATGCTCATAATTTTTCATATTGAATTGCTTAATCACGAAAGAATCAGTGTGATCATATTTATTGTACAAAGTCATAAAAAAATAAAGATTTTCGATAAAAAAATAGCTTCTAATAGCTTTCTTTTTTGTGAAATAGTAAAATATCAAAAATGGAATTGTAGAAAAAGTCAGTACCAAAACACATAATTTAGTGACTAAAATAAAAAAAAAAAAAAGAGTCAAAAATAAAAATTAATTCTAAAAGTTATCTCGTAGTAGAAGTTATTAGACCATTTTCATCATTTGTTGTTTGATTTTCAGTTTTAGAACAAATCGATACTTGATCGTCATTCTCCATTTCTTTGAATATTTGTTTAATTCTTTGTCCTGAATATAATTCTTTAAATTCATGACGAATGAGACCGGTAACAATTGTTGATAATAGAGAACATGGAACAAGATAGAGAAGAGCTGGTTGTGCCATATTCATAAAAGTCAAGGCGATAATGACAAATATATATCCGACAGAATAGGCAATCATTGATTGTATATAATAAACATGAATACGATTCTTGCTCGCTATATCGAATAATTTACAATACGTTATTAAAATTCCTGGCAAAATAATATCACCAAAGCCAACTTTTTGATCAAAACTTTTTATACATGGATCAAGATTTTTTGCTATTTTTGGCACACTAAATAATATTGGTACAACTTCTTCTCCACTTCCAAGTCCAAGTGCAACCTAAAATAATTAATTAACATTAGAATTAGATATTTTTTAGATTAAAACTATTTACTTGTTCCATAATACTTGGATTATGTTTTTTGTCTGGTTGTGCTGTTGGTACATAATATGGTGATAATGTAGTTGTTAATGTTGTAGTTAGATTAGTATGTGTTGTACTAATTGTTGTTTGTGTTGATAATAATGTTGTCGTCGTAGTTTTAGGTGAGTCAGAGAAAAATGGAATATAAGGTGTAATAAATACAAAAAATATATCATAGAAAAAAAATAGTAACAAAATCAATGTAATCACTTTCATATTTGCTAAACGATAAATAGATAGAACAACAATACATAATGCAACACCAATTATATCTTGTAATACCCATGACCATTCTTGTTTTCGATAAATATACCAGAGGATCACCAATATTAAACTCAATAAAAGTGAAAATATTGAAAAATAATTAATTGAATCAATTTGAAATTTACATGGTTTTTTAATTTGACAAGACTGAATTTTAAAACGTCTTAAAATAAACCTAAAACGTCTTATATAACTGAAACGTTTTAAACAAGACATCAATGAAACTATACCACTAATACAAAACAACACTAAAAGAAAAAGAGACGATAAAGATTTGTTTATAAAATATTAAAAAGATCAAAATATAAATAATTACTTTGTAAAACTTTGACCATCACTTTAGGAAATTTCCAAATTAATAATATCCAAACAGTTGCCATTACTAATAAAACTCCTATTGTACAATAGGGCATAGTTAAAATGGCTTGATCATCGTCTTCTGATGATGGTTTTTTCACTTTTTCAGATGGTGATGTTATGGAAATAATTGTAGTTGAAGATGGTGATGAAGCAGTATTAGTGGGAGAAGTAGATACCGTTTGGTCAGTAATTACTTGCGATGCCAAATTTGACGATGACTGTTGGTTCGTTTCTAAAGATTCTAAATATAAAAAATAAGACTAATATTTGATTTAGCTTAATAATGAAAACATGGTGAAAGTGAGTCTACTACAACTCACCACTTCTTAATCTCAAAAATCGATCCCAGAACTTTTTCATTCAACAAATTCTGTTTTTCAACAGTCTGCTTAAATTAAAAACTAATCTTGTTGTCAATATGTATTTCAAAACTATACCGATAAAATCATTGTTAGTTGTTTGTTTTGTACTGACTGATGAATATTTTTCTTGTTTAAACGTATAATGAATGGCATGTTTTCCAATTTTTTGAATAAATTCATCTCCTGCCCACATAGTACCCGCAAAAAGCACCAAAATAATTAAAATATACATTAGTATCACCACCACATTAAAACGTAATTGAGGCAATGGAAAATCAATTGAAACTTGTTCAATTTTATTTGTTATATTATTTTTAATTAATTCATGAAATTCAGATTGTCTGATGAGTAAAACGGGAATTGTTACTGGAATCGTTTTATTTGTTGTTAATGATGAAATAGTTGTATATGGAATAGCACTTATATATAATAAGCTGATTTCATCTCCAAATATTAACTGAAAATTGTACGATTGCTCGGCAAATGAACAATTTGCATTATGTTTAACGACTAACATGGTATTATTTGTTATTGGTAATAAAGATATTGATGAAATATTTGTTTTATCACAACCATTTATTATTGGTGCATAATAAAAATTATACCAGCCGAACTGTTTTACAGTAATTATTTTTGGTAACAGTACCATTTGAAGACAATAGCGATTTGTATTTGACGATTTTAAACGTACAAGTAAATTAAGAGATTCTGTTGCATCTGCATTTAGTAAAGAAAATAGACAACAAAATAATAGAGAATAGTAAACTAAATTTTGTGACATCGTTGTACCGTGACTACTAATCTAAATAGATTGAGAAAAAAAGAAATGTATAGAATTATGTCATAGAAACTACTTCTTTTCAGATTCAATAGAGATTGGCTTCTTTCCCAAAAACCAGAGAAACATAATGAGATGGTCAAATGCAACAACCCTCGAATTGTGTGGCAATATATAGAACCTTCTTGTTAGTTCAGCTCTACGAAATCATCAGTCTCTAAGCAAGTCACACTAAGCTTTTGCATGTAGAACGATAGGCGATAATTTCACAAAGTTATTTTTTAGACTACCGCCCCTTCGAAGATGGCCAGTACTATAGCTCCATTATTTTCATTTCTATTTATCCATACCAGGGATGTTACAAGTCTTGAGACCATCAAAGATCACATGTTTTCATTATTTAAAACTTCATTATCAAATAAAAACGCGTCGGGCTTGGTAAAGCTTTTTTTCCTCAAGTTTTATCAAACCCGATACTTTTTTATTGATCTTGATCAGTCCTCGCACCAGTTTCGGATACAACAGAGAAAACTGGTTACGTCTGACACAAAAGCTCCACAGAGCGTAGGAGTTTTGAATAATGAAAACATGTGATCTTTGATGCAAGGTCTCAAGACTTGCAACATCCCTAATCGATACTGTATATTTTCGATAAGTGTCTCGCAATATGAGGTGATATATTCCTTCTATTATGCCATACTATGATAAGACGATGTATCTTGATTGCTACATATCGCTATACGACGGACTGGGTGACTTTCATTAAAATGTCTCGTACAAAATAGCTGTGACCTAGAGCTTCTGATGGCACAAGAATTTAATTAAAATTTTAATGAACTTCATTTTAATGAAAGTTTTTTAATGAAACTCCGATATTCCTATACGACAGGCAGCTCACAATGGAGGAGCGGTGGGCTTTCCTAAGCAAGTTTTCCACTTTGAAAGCGTAAGGAGGAATTTTATTTTGGAGCACCGTAGATGACCGTAAAAGTGTAATTCTGTATCCACGTGACAGAACAAGTTTCTTCTAGCATTATGGTTATGTTGACTGTTGTATTTGACATATTAGACGCTTGGAACAGTCTAAGATAGCCCAAAACACTCTCAATTAAAGACAATTTGAGTGGTGCACGTTTAATTATCATCGATTGGTGAGTCATTTATTATTCATCGAGATATATTTGAATAGATGATTGCACCGTAATGGACGATGAATCATCGGACGCAAGGTTTATATATAATACTAAGTAACTTAGAACGTGTTTTGGATACTTTTTGCTCATTACCATCTCCTTCACTTACTTAAATCAAACAGACGTTCCTACCGTCATCGTCAAATCGAGTGTGCTCTATTATTTAGATTAACTAGCAAGTATACTAGACATTTTGATACTCTATGTCAAAGTAGGTGAATTTCGATACATTTCCCAAAAAGAAACACTGATTTTATCGAGAAAAATAAAATCGTGGTGAACACTGGTTCTACCACAATGCAGACACATATGGGTTTTAAGTTCATAAAATTGTTATTTCATATATTGCAAAACATGTTCTATCACGGTGCTCTTCATAAATATGATGATAAACATTGATATCACGACGAATTATGACATTCCGATAGACTGCCATAACTGTGGTGAATACTGGAAAATTTTAATTCTGTTTTATCTCGATATATTGCTGACTTTACAATTATAAGATCCTTATGCCACGCAAAAAATCATCTGTTAGCCTTCTCATAATTCCTTCGTTGAGATATCGTAAGTTCTACAGTATTAGCAAATAGATATTTTTAGGTTTTATTGATATTCCGGATCCTCTAACGTTATCTAAAGACCAAAAATTGGACATGAAACAGCTACACTAGTTAAGTGCTGGAATGCTGAAAAGTGATGATACAATTAAAGTAAAAAAAATTAAGATGAGTCATTAGCTAAAAGTAAAAGATATGCAAAAAGCGAGGAGATGACAAGTAAGAGACTGTAAGTTATACATTGTAAGAATGTGAATTACACAGCAATCACAAAATGTGCGTTTTTACTTTGGCTCGTGGTGAAGATACAAGAATAGGTCTTAAGCTCTCCTTAATTATTGAGTCGGTAACTTAAAAAGTGAGAAATCTGGAGGAACAGTTAATAACTTACTGCCAAACTAATACACAAGAACCTAACAACTACACTGATAAAAACTTGTTTACAGACTTGAAAACATCGTTAGTGAATTTGTTCCTTATAAGCTGATATTCGCATGTGTCAAATACCCATCTTTCTTTTGTTTGCGAGGTTGTCTATTGACACGGTTTCGTTCTATTCTTTTTATTTATAAAAAAGAAAAACGCGTTTTTTTCCCGTTATCTACTTTTTTGTTGATCTTAAACAAATGTAGATGTACAGTTATTTCGAAAACGTGAGAAATACGGTAGAATGAGAAGTATCTGATATTTATCTCATATCGATTTCTGGAATATGTGTGTTTGTCATAACAGAGTTCAAAAACGGAGAGTTGAATCGAGAAAATTTTCATCTTTTAACTGATAGATATTCAAAAGTAAGTATTTTGATAAGATATTTTGGAAAGGTCTCGCTTGTTATGTTTTCGTATTACTATGTAGAGCAAAATTTTCTAATTAAAAAAAGATATTGAACGACTCTGTGTGTTGTTTTAAACATTAGCTATAAGATTTTTCGCTAAGAGTGTCAGAATATGTACTGTAAACTGCTGCCCTCTTTTCTAATTTTTCTGTCAGCAGCTGACATCGTTTAAAAGATTTTCCGGTATCTATGCATCGGAAAAAGATTGCTTTTTCAATTGAAATCAAGATATTAGTTAAGGACTCTACAAAACTATAATAACTTAAAAAATCACTTTGTATTTCTTTTCAGATATGAGAACACTATAACTGAATTTGCAGTATTATTCCTCTTAATATGGTAAATCAGCCGACATCGTTGTAAAAAGGTCATCAGTTTCTTTTCGCGTATTCTCACCGGTGAACTGAAATAAGCCACAAAATATGTGGCTTAAAAAAAAAGATACAACGCGAACAAATGCAGTATAGTCATTCTAATGAAAATTGAAGTCATCTATATTGAATAAAAACATTGTTTCTTTCTTTACCCTATCTCGCATTTATAGCTTTAGCTATAGTTCGAGCCCGGGTCATGCTTTTAGTAAAATTGATCTTTTAAAAACGGTCTACAATCAAGAAATGCATTTTGTAAGGCATACTTCTTTATCAACGGTTTTGTCTGACTGCTATGCGTCCTTCGGACTTTATGTCTGTTATATTATGCAGATGTTCCCTTTGTGCAGGCGAAAATTTACCTGATCTATATCCCATGAGGTTTTTTCTTGGTTGATCGACTAATCGATCCGTCACAGCTCATGGCGATTGGAGTGAAAACTATGGTACACAATCGCGATTGTGGACCATGAAATCGCAGTTTTGATCATGGGATGGTTCGGTAGATATTTTGAAAACAGTGTCTTTTTTTACATTAAATTCATATTCTATTTATGATATGACGCATACGCGCACAAACGGTAATTAAAATAATTCTCAATAAGCGACGATTTTTATGTTGCATGATCAAGGAAAAAACTGATTCTCTGTGATATGTATGCAGAGCGTTTATGCGCACTTCAGTGTAAATTATTAGAGTGTTGATCGGTTCAGATAAAAGTTGCTTTCTTTTTTGTTTGCACTTTAGCTCTTAGTCTTTACAGTTGAAATCTTTTTAGTTTAGCTCTGCTTTTTGTAGTAAAGAAATACTCTTCAAACATTACATTAAGAGAATGCCATACACAAGAATTCACTGACTCGCAAAACAATAAAAATCATGACGGAATCACGCGTTACGTGGACAGGCCGTACTCTAGAAAAGCAATCATTTCAGCTATACAGAGACTGATCTTCCCAGATCTTGTTTCATAATACGACGATCATTAGAATAGTGTGGGTGGTATAGCAGTTACATCAGACAGAAAATAAAAATGCACATTTTTGGTTCGTTTTTTAAAATTTTATTAATACACTGCGTCACATACTTCAGCTAAAATCTGTATAATGCTTTTGTACTATGTATAGTGATAGTCAAAATTATTCGTACATATATCTAAAACTTGTTTGTTGTCATACATCTCCTGAGCAGCACGAGCTGTCAGGATGAAGTCATAATTAAAATATTGCTACATCTCCAGTGTACAAAACACCAGTTTACAACTCTTGTAAACTTTAATTCGAGAACCACATCAGTAAAACCCAACTTTCTAGACAGATCAAAATATTCATTAAGTAAAACGAATCTAATTGCTTATGTTTTCCGACAACTATGAATAGAGGGATTGGCATATCTGGATAGCTGAATTCTTCAACTACATTCTAGTAAGAGAAATGTTGTTCGAGATGTGTTCTCTGATGAAAAGAATCTGTTTTCCAAGTTGGACGTCCCACTGTACAGTAAAAAATGTCCAGATTGCATCTCTAAAACGGTATGAAGTTTTTTAAACTTATTAGAAAAAATTGAAAACTTGAATATATGAAATAAAATATTTCCTCTCTAAAAGTGTAAGAAGCCTGATGAACTTTTTCATTTATTCGATGTAGGAAAGAATAAAATTAGGTACATTCATTTCTCTTAAGAAGTCTGTAACATTTGTTCAGTTGGATATGTAACGTAAAGGTATACTTTTTAGTCATGCAGCACCCAGTCAAGAATATTCCATATATAATTATCTCAAAGACATCATCTTCATGACGGCACAGGGCGCATTTCACTAATAGCAGGCGATCATCAGAATTTTTTTTCTTAACTGTTTTTGCATGAATAATTATCATTATCTATCCATATCTGATGTCTTTGGGGGAAAAAAACGTTTTCAGAAACATCGATTTTGCAGGCCATGAAAAAAAATTTCGATGGATATTTCTTCAATTCGAAACTTATCGATTATACTTAACGTATTATACATTGTTCAATGCAGTTTTTTACGCTGATGCCGAATTTATCATTAATTTTCGTTAGAAAGTTTCCTGGGATAAGAAAATTAGATTTTATCTAGAAAACTTATACCAAAGTTCATGAAAGACGACACTATTCAACGCTAATATAATAGATGTACGGCACACAATGGAACATTCTCTTAAAGCTTGAGTCAGTCTGAAGCTTTGTGGACTCTTGCGCACTCACTATACCGAAGACATATGTATGGAAATTTATAAATCATAAATTTTTTGATCGAAAATTTAAAATAGTTATAAATATTTGAGGTATTTATAAATCAACAGTCAAGTTATAAATCTGAAGCCGATTTATAAATCCATACATGATTTATAAATTGATTTATAAATGCCGATTTACATATTTATTATTGATTG